TAATCCTTGCTGTGCCAGACAGGGAGCTGCTTGCAGGGAGAAGTGATGCTCAGCCCTGAAACGTTTTCTTTCAGGCCCATCCATTGCCGTCATATTGCCGGAGATTGTCCTTCTGTACGTGATTGTGGTCACCTTCCTGGTGGCCGCCAACGTGACCTTCCAGCCTACCAAGCTCATCCAGCTCAAAAGCACAACAGGTGAGCTGTTCAAGCATGGCAGGGATGGAGATCAATAGAAAACAGGTGTGGGGAGGTGTTCTTTTGTGCAAAATCTCATCCTTTGTGTGCCAATTCATGCCGGTGGGTCCCCAGCAGACTGTGGTCTAAAGGAACCCCCATCCACCTCTGGCAGCACACGCTGACGTCTCTGTGTCCTCCTTTTCACGGCCAGCACAGCGCACGATGGGCTACACAGCTCCCGGCGGGGTGCTCTTGGTGGTGCTGACGAGCAGCTTCCACATAAAGAACATCCACCATCGCCACGGTGAGAAGCTTCTCTGCAACAGCCCTTCCACATGGCCATCCAGAGCTGGAGCCGCCCAAAGAAAATGCAAAAGATTGCTTTTATTTTTCAGGACAATTTCACTTTTTTATATGTACGCACGTTCTCACAGTGTCAGTCTGCCTTTCTCTTTTCCTTCTGACCGAGTTTTCTTCTGCTTTTTCGCCTGTCTGACCTCAGAGGACGGCTGCACAGCATTTGTGGACGTGACCGCCCTCGCGGTGAGCACGGCGGCAGTGTCAGCCCTTCCGCTCCTCGCCATCTTCCTCTGCTGTAAGTGCCCCTCCTCCGCTTCCCTCTCTACCTCTGCGGTCTAGCAGCAGTGTGAACTACACACAACTCGGCTTTCTGCTTTAGAGAAGAGCCCACAGCCTCTCTGGTGACCATTTCCCTTCCCCATTTGAGCCCCAGATACTGTCCCCCAAAACGCTGTGCCCCGCAGGCGCTTTGCCCAGTGCCCACGAGCGGACTTGTCTTTTCGCAGATCACACCACACAGGGGTGGCAGAACGAACGTGACTCCAGCTGTGCCGAAAAGGAGAGGTAGAGCCTTCTTTGCCTTTTTCTGTATAAATTCACACCGTCCTGGAGTGAAAAGAGCAAGATATGGAAATTATCCCATGCCTTGTTTTAAGTCCTAGACCCCATGAAAGGTGCAGCCCAGCTCTGCCCTCCCAGCCCCTGATTTTACACAGGATTTGGAGTGGGATGCTCCAATGGGGTCTGTGCTTGAGCACCTGCTCAAATCTCTCCACAGATGCATCACTCATGGCCCCAGCTTGAAGTTTTAAGTCTTAATTCTTTCTGGTTTCATCCACGCCCTTTGGATTTTGGTGGTGCTGTGGGTGCATGGGGGCTTAGCCCTGGGGTAAAGCCCCCAGTGCCCATCCTGCTCATCACAGCCTCAGTCAGCATCTCCGTGCCCCAGCCAAAACCAGCCGGGGTTGGATGAACAAGTGTTAGACCCATGTGTAGGGTCTTGTTGGGTTTTGGGGCCATGCAGGGGTGGGTGAGAAGAGAGGCCCCCACAGCTCACGCCTCTGCCTGGTGTGGGGCAGGTCTGGACTGGTGGACCAGACCTTTGGCTCCACTAATGTTCAGCACGTGGGATTACAGCACGGTTTGGGTTGGAAGGGACACTTAGAGACCATCCCGTCCGTCCTCCTGCCATGGGCACGGACACCTCTCCCTAGATCAGGTTGCTCAAAGCCCCGTCCAACCCAACTTTGAACGCCTCCAATGATGGGGCACCCACAGCTCCTCTGGGCAGCCTGTTCCAGTGCCTCACCACCCTGACTGTGAAAAATTTCTTCCCTGCAGGTCCTCCAGGTCCTTTGAAATGTCCCTGCCCAACATCAAGGATCCTGTTCCCACCTGCTAGACACTGGGGGTGTTTCACACTTGGCTGACTCAACCCAATTTCTCCCCAACATTGAGTTTCAGTAGGTCTGAGTCTCCAATGTACTGGTGATAAACAGCAATTAAATTAATTAATTCTGCCTTTATTTTTATTTTTATTTTTTATACAATGCAGAACCGGAGGGTCCAAATGCACACTTCCTCTTTTATTTTCCTCTTTAAAACCAGGACATGGGGGAGAGAAGGGTTTTTAAGAGTAGTTGCAAGTGTCTCTCTCAGTAGTTCATTGTTTCAATGCGGATGCAGCCGTGCAGTTACCCACCCCTTCCTTCCACTGTGTGAGGCCACACTCCACTGCTCGCTCCCCGTGTGCGGATGATTTCAACGTGCTTTGGAAGGGGAGGTCAGGCTGCTTTCCCCCACATCCACAGCTCTGTGTCCTCCCTGCCCACCCCTGATGCCCTTTGCAGATGGGACAGCATCTCCAAGGACCATTGTCCCCACCCGCACCAGCACCCACACCTGCAGCGACCTTGGTGTGCTTCTGAAGCTATTTGCCTAAATGCAAATCCCTCTGCTGAATTCACTGGGTGTTGACAGTAGCTGCTCTGTTCTCTTATGGGTTTTTCTGCCCAGGAGGGAAAATATGATGTGTTTCTTTGAGGGGGCATCATGGAGGCCAGGCTTTGGGTGTTGCCGTGCTACAGGGCTGGGGAAGGTAAGGGCTCACTCCATGCAGTCGGCAGGAATCAGGGTCCTCAACCATGCCTTGTTGTTTTTCCTGCTCCTCCCGTCCGGTTATTGTATCAACTAGAGTAAGAACCGTATTTCCTTCCTCCAAACACAATCTAACCTGGCACGAGTAAGCAACTGAACATAAGCAATTGAATAGGATAGAGGCATGAGAAAAATACACAATAAAATACATGCTGAAATACATGCTCAAATCAAAAGTGGAGGTTGGATTCTCAGCATCATGGGTTCCCCCCTCAGCTCAGCAGTGATGTGGGGCTGGTTTTAGCTGCTAGGAAACAGAAACTACAGTGTGAGATACTCTCAGGTTGAGTCTTCAGATCTCAACACGTTTAAGGAGAGTTAAACTGAGAGGCCGCAGAGGTCACTATGGCCTCAGCCAGTTGCACAAAGCAAGGTAACTCATGGACCTAGCAAATGTTGAAAGGCCTTTTAGGCCAGACGCCCCTATCCCATCAGGATGCCGGTGCGATATTCAGCTTTTTGCTGGTACTTGAGAGCGGCCTCTGCTCTACCAGACTGCAGCTGTTTCAGGAGTAAGGGTTAATAATTCACCCACTTTTATGGCTTTATAAAGTTTGCCTTTCAGTGCCCCCCACCCCCAAGTATTCCCACAAAGGCAGCTGGGCCCTTGCAGTTCTGCACGTGGGAAACCTCCGGGATGGCCAAGGGGAGGCAAACACAAATTAGACAGGTGATGAGGCCTCGCTGCCCTTTGTAAGGGTGATTTTCTCCACGTGGTAACCAAGGTAACAAGGTCTGGTTGGACATGGATGGCAGTAGCTTCTCCAGGGGGCATGGGCATTGTGTGCTTATCTCCAGCCTTCTGTCACAGATCCCGGTTGCCCCGGTACCAGTGGGTGCCTGAATTACTTATTCACTTTGTGTTTGCTTAGCTTTGGTTAGCAGTCTTTTGTTTCTCTGCAATTCCATTTAGGTAAGTGTTGGACAATACTGGCCCCAGTATCGACCCCTGGGAAGCACCGGTAGTGACCGGCCTCCAGATGGACTTTGTGCTGCTGCTCCTAACCCAGCTGCTCAGCTGGCTTTCCGCCCACCCCACCTAGTACCTAGTGAGGTCCCTGGGAACAGGTTGGGCTGGAGATATTTCCTAGAGCCAGAACTTCTCTCGTGAGGCAGGAAGCCAAAGGTCCCGGTCCACGTGGAGTGAGCACGTCGGTCAGAGCGAGCATCTCGGTGCGTGGCAGAGAAGCTGCTGCTTCCCATTGCTTAGCAAGGGGGGGAGCCTGGGGGGAGCCGGGGCTTAGCCGCAACCTGCACACGGCAGCTTTCAGGACCTCCTGCCACCGGGGAGCTGGCTTTGGGTAACGCCGGTGTATTGGCTTTATGTGCCAAGGTTTGGTATGTGGCTGCCAATTGAGTGATGCTGATTCAAAGATCGAAGCCGAAATTTCTAAGTGGCGAAGTATCCTTTATTGACAGCTCTGGATGCACGGGGGATCCTTCCACCTCACGTGCATGTTCGAAGTAGCAAACTGTCTCATATTTATACAGCAAAACAATGGATATTCAATTAACACCTATACGTATTCATTACCAAAACCCGCCTACTCTCACTTCGTATGCTAATTAGCTTATCAGTCCTTGCACTTACGCAAAGCCTCCCAAGAATTGTAGGAAGGGGTCTTCGGGGCGTGGGCAGTGGTATTTGGGAGTTAGACTGTAGGTCTTCTTCATGATGTACTTTTCATCTTTTGCTACAGAATGCCAAGTTGGCTGAATCAGTTGTTTTCCAAGCTGCAGGAATGCCAAGTTGGCTCAAGTTAGCTCAAGTTTCAGCATAACTGAAGTCCGACACATAACGAGATGTCGAATATTTTGTTCTCATTACGATTTTAACTACAAGATTTATTCTATCCTAAAGTGAGTTTATACAGTATCAGTGCTGATTGTGCCTCGGGGAGAACAGACTTCGGAAAAGAAAGAAAAGAAAGAAAAGAAAAAAAAACCTACTGTGAACAACTGCTGAAAACAGCAGCTGAGAAGAGGAAGGAGGAGCACAGAAACAGCCCTGCAGACACAAGGTGAGTGCAGCAGGAGGGCAGGAGGGGCTCCAGGCACACAGCAGCAGATCCCCTGCAGCCTGTGGAGAGGCCCCTGGTGGAGCAGGCTGTCCCCCTGCAGCCCATGGGGCCCACATGGAGCAGATCTCCACGCTGCAGCCCGTGGAGAGGAGCCCACGCAGGACCAGGGAATTTGGGGAGCTGCTGCCCACGGGGTACCCACGTTGAGCAGTTTGCTTCTGATGGGTGCACCCTGTGCTATGGACCCGTGTGTGGAGCAGCTCCTGGGGAGCTGCATCCTGTGCGAAGCACATCTGGGATCAGGTTGGGCAGGACACGTGTTATGGGAGGAACTCTATGCTGGAGCAGGAGGAGGAAGTGGCTTCGTCTGCAGAGAAATCGTTTTTTCACTATATTTCCCCTCCCAGCACTTCTGAGGAGGGGGAGGAAGAGAGCAGTGTGCTGAATCCGAGCTAGGACAGCTGTGCTGGGGTTCCGCAGAACAGCAAAGGGGGTTAATTGCCGGGAGGGTGGAACAAGGCTGCAAGGAAGGCAGAGCCCGCCACTGCTGCTGCTACTTTAGGAGAACAACGGGACCGAGGTGAGTACAGGGTTAGGAATGCAAAAAGGGGTTGGGGACTGGGAGATGGGGACTGGGATAAAGCCAGGGGGATGGAGCCATGGGGACAGAGGGACCCCCCTGCTTTCCCCTAGGGCTGAAGCTGCTCTCCCCCACAGGGTACCGGGGTCTGCTCCTCCAGCTCAGCTTCCCCTCCTATCCAGCCCTTAAATACCAAATAAACACTTACTGCCTGTAAGCGCTCTGTGGAGTTCAGAGCTCATAAACATCCCGTCTGTCCCCACTCAGCCCATTCCTGTGTTTTTCCATGGCTCCAGCATCTTGCAAGGCTTTACAATTAACTCAGAGGTTAATGTAAAAGATAATTCTCCTGACAACCATTGCTGGGTTTTCCCTACCTCCAGCACCATGGGTAGGACTGTGAGAAGCCTCCTCACCCCAGCTGTGTTCATCATTGAGCTTAGGGCTGAAATTTTGCATTAAACGTTCCTGACGCATTTTTCCTTTTTGCTCATTCTCAGTTTTGTTTTGACCACAACCTGCAGGATGAAAAAGAATTTCCCTGCTAGTTTGTGTTAGCTGCGAAGAGCCATGCTCCTCTACAGTTGTGCTGCTACATTTAGAAGACAAAGAAAGATTTTTCCTTCTGTTTAATTACCAGTGAGTAGCATTTTTTCTGCTTTTCACCAGTTTTGGTAGTCCTTTTTGCTCTGTGAGACAGGGATAGCTGAGCTACACCTCTCTCACAACAGGGATTTGTATTTGCTAACTGGATATTTGACCTGAAGCTGTGGGATGATTTGCATCTTTTTTCATATCAGGAGAGTCCAATAGATCATTCCAGATAATTCATCTTGCAGTGAGGTTTTTATATTTGAGCTGCACAGCTGCTGCAAAGCGATAACAGAAGGGCACACAGCAGTGAGGGGCCCACGAGCAATGCTGGGCAAAGCTGGCTGCAGACAATTGGGCTTCTGTCAGTCCCCACAAAATTTTTTTGCTTGTTTTTGAGGCCTGAAGCTGTGTGCAAGCCACTGCAGCTGGGGGAAAGCAGTTCCTTTTTCTAAAGGCCGTGCTGGCTCCCCAGCCTGCAAAGAAAGACCCTGGGCTGCTGTTGCTCCTCTGGCACAAATAGTGTTCCTATTTGTTGGGGTGGCTGCTGGTAGTGTCGCCCTGGCCCCCGTAAGGAGCTCTTTTCAACAGCTGACATGCAGCTCACCCCTGCAAGAGGCTTGATTAGCGCTGCTGCTGCATCTACCGGGGCTGATGGGCTGGAAGCACACGCCTTACAAAATACTCTTTGTGAAACACCAGCACGCTAGTGTGCTTCTGCTTCATTTTTTCCTCATGACTGTTTTGAAGAAATGAAAGACAAGGCACAGAAGAGATGCAAATCATAGTCTTGAGTCTGTCTGTCTTCATGAGCCTGTCCTCCCTTGTCTGTGTTGTAGCTAAACTCCTTGAAACATCTGCCCTCATCAAAAGTCTCTGTGTTTGCAACTGCCTCTCATGCCACAAATATCTGTGGGAGGTGTTTGTCTCACTGAGAATCAAAGGCCTGTGTGATTGCCGTTACACAAAACCGCCTGCCTGCCTTATGCAGTCATTTCCTTCCAAGGGCTCTTCTCTGTTTCCCCCAGGTTTCTGAAGAATGAGATCTTATCTGCTGGAGGAGGGATTCATTTTTAAAAAAAGTCACACGAGAGCTGCATTGCATGCCCTTCTTCCAAATTTTCCTTACTCCCCATCACCTGGGGATCCTCAGTGCATCTCCATGAGCACAGGGAGAGCTGGGAGGGACTCCAGCCCCCAGCAGGAGAATACGGCATTTCTGTGCTGGTTGGGGTGTGCCTGGAAAAAGGAAATTATTCATCTATAAACGGTGCCAGCTTTCTGCACAGCCACTGTTCTTACATCCTTAAAATAGTTGCATACGCCGTAAAACACAATATCTTTCCCATTTTCCTGTCAAAAACCACAACAGTTTATTGCTCAAACTTTGGAGGCTACCAGAGAAAAACAGCCAAAAAGTGGCTGATTGTGGCAGCAGCGTGGGGAAGAATCAGGAGGAGTTAGGAATCCGTGTTTTGTCAGGAGATTATGACCTGGTGGCCATTCCACAGACATGGTGGGACAGCTCACAGGGCTGGGCTGTGGCCGAGGACTGGTGTGTCCTGCTGAGGAAAGGCAGGCCAGCAAGGCGAGGTGGAGGAGTTGCTCTTTATGTGAGAGAGCAGCTACGTTGTATTGAGTTCTGCCCAGGGGAGGATGAGGAGAGAGCTGAGAGTCTGTGGGAGAGAATTAAGGGGCAGGCTGGTGTGGGGAATAGTGTTGTGGGTGTCTGTTACAGGTCACCAGACTAGGATGAGGAAGCTGACGAGGCCTCCTACTGATAGCAGCCTCACGATCACAGGCCCTGCTTATCGTGGGGGATTTCAGCTACCCTGACATTTACTGGAAGGCCTCAGCCAGACACCCACAGTCCCAGAGGTTCCTCCTGTTACAAATGAAGTTTCAACCCGATCTGAATTTAGTAATATTTATAAAAGGCAAGTAAACAGCGCTGAGTGCGTGGGGAGTCTATGTTCTACCAGCACGTACACACTAACATCGAACTTTCTAAATATACAGAACACTTCTTTTACATATTAAACCCGAGTACGCCTATAGATATGAATCATAAACATGGCAAAGTTTTAAGAAGCAAGTGTTTCACAAACAATCCTTGAAGGCAATCACTATTAATGTCCATGATTGGGGGAACAGAGTTGGAGTTGCTAATCCTGGTTGGAGTGCTCCCATATCTTCCATCACTTCATTAATTTTCCTCAGATCATATAACACTCTCCATTTTCCGTTCCTTTTCTTGATTACAAACACCGGATAATTCCAGAGTTAGTCATGGGAACAACACATCTCGCTTTAAGTTGTTAAGCAACTCGGCCTTTGGGCCTTATGTATCTTGTTCCTCCCAGATTGAAGGGAAACATTTCCATCTCCTTTTCAAGGCCAATAGGGCCTGGCTCAAAAGGCACGTACAGGTCACCAGGGGACATACCAGCAAAGGCCTGTGATGGCAGTAGCGGTGGGGGGGGTGATGGTGTAGCAGAAGGATCGGTGGATGAGCCCGCAGCTCCCTCACTGTCTGGCAAACCCCACGTTTCTGACTGTGGTCCCACGCGGCTCTTTAAGGCCTCAGAGATTGTTCACCAGGTGCCGAGCAATCCCACCGCAACCTTGTCGTTTTTAGTTGCAGAGTGCCACACCTTGACCTCAGTTTGGTCCCATATTTGAGGCTCATAAACTGTCTGATTGTTAATAAAACGAATAAGCTGTAAGGTTCCCAGGACAGTCTTTGTTCCTCAGGACGTATGATTCCCCATAATGCACAACTGCTTACCAGCGAGGGGCAGCTGTGTGCACAGGTCCATTTCTCAGCCTGAGCTTCTTCCCAGCTCCGGTGCGCCCATTTCCAGCGACTTTCTGTACGAGCTTCTCTGAGCAGTTTGCTGAGTCTGGCTGAACCTCTCTTCATGAGGCAATCAATGTGCCTGATCCTGTCCTGGTCTCCGTTCTGCTAGCCTGTCCCTATTCATTCTTCTTTCTACTTCTTTATTGATGACATAATTTCATCACATCGTGTTGCCTTTTTATCCTGAAGGCAGGCTCCCCTCTTATACCTTTCTCCCCAGTTGTTTCTTTTCAAAACAACTTTTCATTGGTTAAAGATCTTGCATAGAACAGCAACAGCAAACACCCAGCAACTTCCATGCCTGAATGGCTGGAGAACAAGAAAACGGAGACTGCATGGTGTCTCCTGAATCAGCCTTCTTTGATCCCTCTAAACTCTTTTACGTTCCTGATGGCCTCGTCATTAAGAGTCTGATATTATCATTAACCATGAGGTTTGCTGACTCTTGCAGGAAGAATGGCCAAAAACATGACAGATGCTAGTATGGTCATATCATGCTGCCCTATATTACCAGAATAGCCTGACTTTTATAGTAAACTTAACAGGGGCGGATAGTGCCTTACACAAGATTATCGGTCAAAAGCACTCAGACAAACAACTGCAAGAAAACAACCCCACCTGCAAGAAAACAACCCTCATAGAATTAGCAGTCACGTACATCCCATCCTTGAAGCCAGCTGCTGGCAACAATATTTTTCTAAATTCCTCAATTGGGCGATGTGGGAACTTCTCATAGTCGTCCTGGTAGCTTGGTTTGCTCAGCTGCGGCGAGCCATGGGATCTTTGCTGTTTCAAAAATCCCTCAACAGCCCACCCCCATGGCCGTGCTCCCACATCTCCCCCTTTATTAATATCAACCATTTTCTTGACACGAATTATCACTCCATATATCACACTCCAGTGCACTGATGATAACTTCCAGATGCAAATGGTGGACGTGCCAACTAGGAGAGGAGCACTGCTGGGTCTTGTCCTCACCGGCAAGGAGGGGCGGGTGAAGTGGTGAAGGTTGAGGGCAGCCTTGGCTGCAGCGACCCTGAGATGGTGGAGTTCAGGATCTCATGTGGCACGAAGAGAATATCGAGCAGAATCACGTCCCTGGACTTCAGTAGGGCCAACTTTGGCCTTTTCAAGCAATTGCTAGGGGAAGTCCCATGGGACAGGGTATTTGAAGTAAAAGGAGCCCAAGAGAGTTGGTTAGCGTTCAGGGAGTGCTTCTTCCGAGCTCAAGATCAGAGCATCCCAACAGGTGGGAAGTCAGGAAAGAGAGCCAGGAGACCTGCATGGCTAAACAGGGAAGTGCTGGGCAAACTCCAGTGGAAGAAGAGAGATCATGGAAGGAGGGGCTGGCCACTTGGGAGGAATATAAGGCTGTTGTCAGAGGATGTAGGGAGGCAACCAGGAAAGCTCCGGCCTCCCTAGAATTACACCTGGCGAGAGGGGTCAAGGACAACAGAAAGGGCTTCTTCAAATTCATTGTGGATAAAACTAACGGTAGAGGCAATTTAGGCCCACTGCTGAATGAGGTGGGTGCCCTGGTGACAGGAGACGAAAAAGAAAAGGCAGAGACACAAAACTGGGAGGAGTGGCTGACAGGCCGGAAGGCCGTGCTGCCATCCAGATAGACCTGGCAGGGAGAAATTCAATGAAATATGAGGGCAAGTCCTGCACCTCCGAAACCTCATTTCTCGAAATCCTTTTAGCAGGGCAGAAGCCAGGCCATCAGCTCCATCACAGGGGTGAACACAATGTGCCTGGCCTGTTTCCTCTTGCCTTGGGTTTTGGCTGCTCTTGGGGTGAGGATGCTGGGCTGGGCGTCTGCTTGGAGTGATCCAGAAGCTGCTCCATGGTTGAAAAGGCTTTTTTCTTCTTTTCCTTCAGATGCTGCTCTGATGTTTGCAGGGGTCCATGGAAGCCAGCTGGATGCTGCCAGGAGGTAATGTCTCTCTGGAGTGGGCCCATCCTCCAGCACAGGTTCTCGTCTCTGCATGAGAAGCTCCTTTCCCACCAGCCTCAGGCTGTCTCTAAAACAGACCATGTCTCTAAAACAGACACTCGTGAAATCTTTGTATCACTGCTGAGACTGTCATTATAGAAGAGTGTCCGAGATGTGACTCTAATTACAGGACATTATATTCTGTCCCTTTGACAAAAATATCAGCTCCTCCCCCATCATCTTTGCTCCAGTGCTTTGCAAAACAGTAGGAAAAAATATTATTTTTTTATTATATTAAAAATATTTATTATATTAAAAATATTTAAAAAAAGAGCAGTAAATTTGGTCTCTGTCATCCAAAAGCCAATGATTGCATCTGAGCTCTGCAAGTCAGCCTCGAGCAGTGTTGCACCCCACTGCAAACTGTGTTAGGTGCAGACAGTTTGTTCTTGTGATCTGTTGCACAAAGGGAACGGGATGTGATTGGGGTTTTCCAAGTCCCCACGATGACGGATATGGCAGGTGCAGAGCCTGCAGCCACACACAAGCTCAGGAGCTAAATCTTCCCGAGGAAGTGAGGGAGGGAGCTCAACCAGAGAAGTGTTTCTGTACAGGCAGGGGCATGGCCGTCACGGGCAGCGGCTCAACAAATGGGTGTTGAAGGGACAAGGCAGAGCTGTAGCACTGCCAAGCTGCAGTGAAGGGAGGGCTGCAGAAAGCACCAGCACTGCTGCCTGTGTTGCCATGGGCTGGCAGTGCGTGGGAAGTGCTGTGGGTGCTTTTCACGGTGTCGTTCCCAGGCTGGTCCATCGCTGCTAGTGACCCTGCTGAGAGCGTTGCTGCAGAAGGAGCTCAACCCTCGTGGCGGTTTGAAAGCACCTGTGGCTCTTTGCCATGTCCTTCGCAGGCTGTGAGTGTGAGAGGGGACTTGTCCTTGGGCTGGGTACCACCGCGCAGCCCTCCTGCTGCAGCAGACCTGGGAGAGGTGGAGAGCGGGCACCTGCAGCATTTCCACGCTCGCTTGCACCTCTGTGCTGCAGAAGGGCTGGTCGAGGCGTGAGCATCCTGGCAGGTGCCTCCCAGTGCTGCAGCCTGGGTCCCACCAGGTTCGGGTGCTGAGGGAACTGGGTGAGGTCCAGGGGTGAAGCCACGCTGAATGTGGTCCCACTGAGCAGCTCCTGACATGCAGAAGGAGCCTGATTCCTGTTGTTTTCATTCCAAAAAGCAAGGAAATACTTGAACCAGTTACGAACCATTTTTATAACGTGCCCATAATGTTATGATTTTTTTCTTAAAAAGAAAAAAGGGAGGACGGAAATCAGACGTGCACAATGGGTTTCAAGAAGTCAGTTGGGGCCTTTCCAAGAAGAGCATAAGAGCAGCTTAATTTGTCCTTTGGCTTTTGCTTAGAAGTAACCCACCCTGCTCTGGCTTCTCTCCTGTTTCCAGACCTGCTGCTGCTTTTGCAGGTGTCCTGTTTTGCAGAAGAAATGACAGAGCTCTGGGCAGAGGAAGGATCCTCTGTCACGATGCACGCACCGGCTATTAGGAACATCAGCTTGGCCGAGTGGGAATACATAAGAGAGAACATCCCCGAATTAATCCTGCAGTACTACGCAGAGTCGCAGTCAGTAACCATTTACCCAGCTTACAAAGGCAGAGTGGTTTTCTACGAAAACAACGGCTCCCTTGTCCTGCAGAAGCTGCGAGAGACAGACAGTGGCATCTATAAAGCAACAGTTAACTTGTTGCAGGATAAAGCGACAACAACCACTCTTAGAGTGATCAGTAAGTCAAAAATTGGTTGAAAGGATGTTTTTCTCTGACCATCAGTAGGATTTGCCATCAGTAGGGTGCACAGGTATGCCTCCCCCGAAGTGGACTAGAGGAGGACTTTCTGGTTTCATTACTGCCTTGAATGACATAGACTGTCATTCAACCACTCCTGTCGGTATCCCACAGCAGCAGCAAGGGGTATGCCTGTGCGAGCTGTGCCCAGGTAGAAGAGCTGCTCAGCCAGGTTGCGGAGCTTTGTGGGGAGGTGAGCAGGCTCTGGAGCATCAGGGAGTCAGAAAGGGAAATTGACTGGTGGAAGCATACTCTGCCCTCCGTGAGACAGGCTCACGAGCCTGCCACAGCACGAGTGTCTCCTGCCACGCAGAAGACAAAAGTTCCCCCATCCTGCCAGGGAATAGGAGGGGACCTAGGCCAAGGGGGGGAATGGAGGCGGGTTCCTGTTCGGGGTGGTAGGTGAGCCCTGTCCTTGCCCACCTCACCCCTGTATAACAGGTATGAGGGTCTAGAACACGACAGTCAGAACAGCGATGTAGACAAAAGCCTGTCCCAGTTGGAGAAGGTGCCTAAGGCAAGGCAACCTACCCCCTGCATTGCTACATCGTCTGTCAAGAAAGACAGAAGGGTTATTGTCCTGGGGAACTCCCTTCTGAAAAGGGACAGAGGGCCCGATATGCCGACTGGACCCAGCCCACAGGGAGGTCTGTTGGCTCCCCGGAGCTCGGGTGAGAGACTTCGCTAAGAAAGTCAAGCGCCTGGTACGGCCCACCGACTGCTACCCACTGCTGGTCTTTCAGGCTGGTAATGACGAGGTAGCAACGAGAAGTCTGAAAGCAATCAAAAGGGACCAGGGGCACAGGTTGTGTTTGCCTCTGTCCTTCCGATAGGGGGGATCGATGCTGACAAGCGGGCTCACCACATTAACATGTGGCTTTGCGACTGGAGCAACCAGAAGGAATACAGGGACGCTGTTCGTGTTTGCAGGGAGAAAATTTGTGTGGGCAAAGCCCAACTAGAGTTGAAGCTGGCCATGTCTGTAGGAGACAATAAAAAAGTTTTTTTAGATATATGAACAGAAAAAGGAGGACCAAAGAAAACATAGGTCTGCTACTTGATGGGGAAGGTCTCCTCACAGACAATGACATAGGCAAAGCAGAGATGTTTAATGCCTTCTTCACCTCTGTCTTCAACACTGACGTTGGGCTTCTGGACCCAGGGTGCCCGGAGCTGGAGGACCATGACAGTGGGAATGACAAACTCCCAACGAACCCTGAACATGTGTGGGATTTGCTGCTCCACCTGGAGCCAAACAAGCCCATGGGTCCGGATGGGATCCATCCCAGGGTGCTTAAGGAGCTGGGTGATGTCATCGCAGGACCTCTCTCAATTATTTTTCAGTGATCTTGGGAATCTGGAGAGGTCCTGGTAGACTGGAAGCTGGCAAATGTTGTGCCAATTTTCAAGAAGGGCAAGAAAGAAGATCCTAGCAATTACAGGCCTGTCAGTCTCACGTCAATAAATATTATTGGTAAACTGGTAAAATTATGGAGAAGATGATTCTTGAAGTTACTGAAGTGCATCTGGGGGACAATGCAGTCATTGGTCCCAGCCAACATGGGTTCATGAGGGGCAGGTCCTCCCTAACAAATTTGTTTTCCTTTTATGATAAGATCACCTGTCTAGTTGACCAAGGGAAACCAGCTGATGTGATCTTTTTGGACTTCAGCAAGGCTTTTGACAAGGTTTCCCTTAAGATCCTACTGGACAAAATGTCCAGCATACAACTTAATAAAAACATCATCCGATGGGTGAGCAATTGGCTGACAGGCAGGGCTCAAAGGGTTGTGGTTAATGGGGCCACATCTGGCTGGCGGATGGTCACTAGTGGGGTCCCTCAAGGCTCCATTTTAGGGCCAGTCCTCTTCAATGTCTTTATAAACGATTTGGATGTAGGAGTAGAAGGAGTTCTGAGCAAATTTGCCGACGACACCAAACTTGCGGGAGTTGTGGATTTGAATGAGGGTGGAAAGGCCTTGCAGAGAGACCTGGACAGATTGGAGAGCTGGACAATCACCAACGGCATGAAGTTCAACAAGAGCAATTACTGGGTCCTGCACCTGGGACAAGGCAACCCTGGCTGTTCGTACTGACTGGGTGATGAGATGCTGGAGAGCAGCCCTGCAGAGAGGCATCTGGGGGTAGTGGTTGATAGCAAGCGGAATATGAGCCAGCAGTGTGCCCTGGCAGCCAGGAGGGCCAACCGTATCCTGGGGTGCATCAAGCATGACATCTGGGGTTTGACCAGTTTAAATGCAGGCAATAGTGGAGTCCTATTTTAGATCCCATGAACCACAGAATGGTTTGGGTTGGAAGGGACCTTACAGCCCACCCGGTGCCAGCCCCCTGCCATGGGCAAGGACCCCTCCCACCAGTCCAGAATGCCCAAGGTGACATCCAGCCTGGCCTTGGGCACCTCCAGGGGTGGGGCACACAGAGCTTGTCTTGACAGCCTGTGAAAGTGCCTCACCATCCTCGTAATAATGATTTTTTTCCTTGTATCTAATATAACCTACCCTTTTTTAGTTTAAAGCCCTTACCCCTTGTCCTATCACTCCACTCCCTGGCAAAGAGTCCCTCCCCAGCTTTCCTGTAGCCCCCTTTAGGTACTGGAAGGTTGGTAAAAGGTCCCCCCAGAGCCTTCTCTTCTCCCAGCTGAACACCCCCAGCTCTCTCAGCCTGTTTCCATAGCAGAGGTGCTCCAGCCCCCTGATCATCTCTGTTGTGGCCCTCCTCTGGACTCTTCTGATACGTCCATGTCCTTGTGCCAGAGCACCCCTCCACCCCACTTCTGTGCGGGGGCAGCTTTCTCCTCTTGGAAGTGTCCATAAAGTCCCCGTCATCACTTCCCAGCATAATCCCAAGGTGCAGCTCTGTCGGGTCGGTGTCCGTGGCCCCAGGGTGCCATGCCTGAGCTCCAGGGGCTGGTGCTGCCCACCCCAGGGGAGGTGCCGTGGCTTAAGGGCAGCGGCTGGGACATCGGCTCTGAGCTTGGTGGATGCTGCCCTGCTCCTGCACTTTCTCCCCTGCCAGACTCAACCGAGGCACTGAGCTGAGGTGCGAATGAGAAGGGGAGGTGCCGCTCACCCTGCATGGGGCTTGCTGTTCTGGCATCTCATGCGGGGCAGGTTTAAGGTGGGAGGAGAGGCAATCCCAGGCAGTGCTGCCATGTCGCTCTCTGCTTTCCAGAGCCCTTGCCCCAGCCCAAGCTCCTGAGCAGCTCAAACCTGGCCGGTTCACTCATCAACCTGACCTGCGTGCTGCCAGAAGGAACGGTGGCTGATGTCTTCTGGAAGAAGGATGGACATCCCCTTCCTCCCGAAAATTGCTTCCAGCTCACTGGGAAGACCACCGAGCTGCAGATAAGGAAGGCAGAGAAGTCGGATTGCGGCTCCTACTCCTGCATAATCAACAACTCCATAAGCTGGAAGGAGGCAGCCCTCAACCTGACCGTGACAGGTTAGCATTGCCCTGCCGGGGTGGGTCCGGTGGTTTGCCACCTTGTCACAGCAGCCCTGAGCCCACAGGTACCTGGATGAGACCCCCAGCAGCTCTGCTGTGGTCCTGGGGCTGGCAGATGGATTGTTCGTTGGCTGTTGTCTCACTTGGACCTGCAGCCTTTGTGCATTTAGGTGCCAGCTCAAGCCTGCTCTGTCTTCTCATCTCTAGCAGGTCTGGGCACCAGCACTTTGTCTCTGAGACCCTCGCAGGTTTCAGCTGCCTCTCGTGGGATCTGCCACGCAAGGAAACCCAGTAATCCTTTAGGGTTTCGAGCTTGTTGCAGACTCCTGCGATAGCTGCTCCATGTTGTGGGGTTGTCCTCCATGCAGGTCTTACACCTCCTGCCCGTGCTGCACAGATGATGACCGCTGCTGCGCTGGTGCTCACTGCCATCTCTGCCGTCCTCTTCGTTATCTGGCTCACTCAGCCTGGGAAGCTCAGACTCGGTGAGTGCCCACGCCTGAGCTCCTCTCTCCATGCCGTGGAGAGGGCAGAGGGCGAGGCAAGCCCCTTCTCTCCTAACTCACCGCGGTAGTTGGAGGAAGCTTGCTCGATGGTCGTGGAGTTCATGCACTTCTTCTTATGCTTCTGTGGCTTGAACAGAAAACAAAATTTCCTAGCAGCAGTAATCCCAAATGGCTTTGGGAGAAATTGGACCACCCGCAGGTATCACGGTATGAGGCATAGGAGTTGTTCCTCTCTGTCCTCAGGAGTCCCTGGGGAGAAACAGAAAGGGCAGGACACAAAGAGCTTCCTGCGTGGAGGTGCTGAGAGCTGACCAAGGGCCACGTGGCATTGGGTTTGGCGACCAAGCACACTGGTGTTTGGGTCAGGATGGTGCAAACTGCTGTGCAGCCATACCCAAGCTTACGTGTTAATGTGGGTGCTTCTGTAGCAACATGATGGTTAGCAGAAAAGAGACCATAAGACCTAGCCAACAGCAAGTCCTCCCACACAGTCTTGGTAGCCTTCTCACATGCTCTTCTACCCACCAAGAACAGTCCCCAGAGCAACAGAAACCATGTGGAGAACAGGGGTGAAACCCGATAGCAGGTAGGAAGGTTCTCCCACATGGATTTGTCCCACGACTAGCACTGGAAACGTGCAACACTGGGTCTTGCCTTTGGGGTAATCTCTCCTGAGGAGCTCTACGTGCCTGATGCTTGTGGCAAGAGCTTGTGCCATCTGTGCTCTTCCCCACAATATGCAGCCTCCAGAAGAAATCCAGTGCTTGTCGGGTGGGCAGAATTGTATCAAGGTGTTAAACTAGATGAAATGAGTGTCTTGGTCAGCTCAGAGCAAGTCCAGATCTGACTGGCATCTCATGGTTCCTCCTCAAGTCAAACAAAGCCCTTTAGAAGCCTACCAGAAGCCTTTGAAGTCCACCAGCGTTTGTCTTTGAGGTTTCCAAATCTCGGGAATTTGATTCTTTACAAGGGAAACGTGTGCTTGGTGTTCACCTTCCCTTCCCAGGCTGCACCCTGGATCCCTTGGTGAGGTTCCGAGCCCTAACTCAAATGTATTTGCCTTTTTCCCAGGAAAGGAAGCATGGAAATGGTTAATGATGTCCATCCTGGGGCTGCTGTGCACCTCTTCTCTCCTCCTGTTGGCTGCCTCTGTCATCTGGATGCAGGAAGATGGTAGGATTCATTTAAACTGAGTTGTTCTTCATTTCTCCCGTGTCTTATCTTTGACGACACCAAAGACCTCCAGGTCTCTCCAGCAGCATCCTTGTCTGATGCAGTGCTGTTGGGTTTGGAGAATCAATGTCAGGGTTCCCTGCTCTGTAGCGTCTGCCTCGGCCAGGAGAAGCTTTTCCATCTCACCTCCTTGTTTAATTCTGCTCCCCACAGGTCATTCTGCTGCCTTCATCCTGCTCGGGCTTTTCCTCTCGGCTGGGATCATGGCCATGGCACTGACGGCGGTGGCGATGTCGCCGTGCAGACCAGCAGTGCACACATGCTTCAGGTCCAAAGGCTGTGAGTTGCTGTCGGTGGCCTAAACCTCCGGTGCAAAAGGCCCCATGAGAGCCTGGGAACAAACTCCCCGTGCCGGCCTGCCCTCCTCTCCCATTTCTCTCCCATCCACCAGAACTTCTCCCCTCTCCCAGGGCACCGTGTCATCCTGTGCATTACAGCCACAACGCTGGTAGTCAACCTGCTGTTCAGCAGCCTCCTGCTCCACAACTTCTATCAGCTCCACGGTAATGGGTGGCCGGGTTGGCACCGCGTGTGCCCTTGGTCGCCTTCCTTCTGGGGAGAGGTGGGGTGTTCGGGGTGGGACTGGCCTCACCATGGGAAGAGAAAGTCCTTGGGTGGCTTTGTAGGCTGTAGTTGATGCAGTCATGGCAAGCCTTGTGCTTAGCTGGGAGGTCACAGCAGGGCACTGTTTGCCCGTGGAGCTCCAGAGCGTGAAGCACCAGGATGCTCTGAATGACCTTCATGTTCTGTAGATGTTCAAGGGGGGCAGGAGAGCAACCACTGACAAGTTCTCACTGTCTCCTTGGCAGAGCGGGGCTGCTCAGAGGCTGTCAATCTGACCATTGGCTTCGTCATTCCTGCTGTGGCAGTCCTCTCCATGCTAATGCTCCTCTTCCTGTGGTGTAAGTAGCCCAGAGGTTTCCTTTGGCTCTCTCTACAAGAAGGACATGGAGGTGCTTGAGCAAGTCCAGAGAAGGGCAACGAAGCTGGTGGGGGGGTTTAGAGAATAATCCTACGAGGAGCGGCTGAAGGAGCTGGGCTTGTTCAGCCTGGAGAAGAGGAGGCTCAGGGGCGACCTTATCACTCTCTACAGGTACCTTAAAGGAGGCTGTAGTGAGGTGGGGGTTGGCCTGTTCTCCCACGTGTCTGGTGACAGGACAAGGGGGAATGGGCTAAAGTTGCACCAGGGGAGTTTTAGGGTGGATGTTAGGAAGAACTTCTTTACTGAGAGGGTTGTGAGGCATTGGAACGGGCTGCCCAGGGAAGTGGTGAAGTCACCATCCCTGAAGGTCTTTAAAAGACGTTTAGATGTTGAACTTAGTGATATGGTTTAGTGGAGGCCTGCTTAGTGTTAGGTCAGAGGTTGGACTCTATGATCTTGAGGTCTCTTCCAACCTAGACAATTCTGTGATTCCAGCCACACCAAGTAGCTGCTCCGTCACTGAGACCCTGCTCTCAGCTCCCACCCCCTGGCAGCAGGTATTGAGACAAGAGGCAATGTGCCTCTGCTTCACCCAGGGATGCTCAAGGAGGTGTTCGTGAAAAGCGAGTTTCTCCTCCCGAACATGGAGGATGCTCTTCTGCTCTCCTCCTGACCCAGGAGACGTGGGCTGATGCCCAGCTGGCCACTAACCTGAGCAGTAGTGAGCCCACGGTGTGCCTCACAGGCTCCATGATGTGTTGAGGAGAGGGTGGGAAGGGGACCACTGCTTTGCCAGGGTGTGCAGAACAATTGGGAATCTGAAACACAAGAAATATTGCACTAACCTACCAAGGGCTCGTAGGTTAGAGGTTCAGGGGCTTGCAGGCAAGGTGGGTGTCCATCTCTGTGCTGCCTTCTGGCTCTTCATCCAAAACAGAGATCTGGTTTTGGAAAGGGAATGGTTTAGCCATGGGAAAGCCTCCAAAACCCATTCTTCCCTGCAGTCGCATTTTCACATGTCCCCATGAAGCTCAGGGTGGTGTTGGAAACCCAGGAGCTGATGCCCTCTCCTTTGTTTTCAGCTTACAAGAAAAATCAGGAGAGGCAGCAGCAGCCGGACCCCCAGGAGGTCACCCACAGCTTACAGACCACGTCCACCTTGGTGAATTCCAGCAAACATGAGGTGTCTCCTTCTCTGGTTGCTGCAGATACTCGTCATGTAACAAGGAATATTTAATACTCACCGAGAAGCATCCATCTGCCTTCCTGCAGAACGGCACGGGTGGATTTGTCACCACCTGGGGGGTGACATCCGAAGAACCAGTCATTGGAAAAGCTGGTACATTCCTCCTAGGCCAGTCCAGAAACTGAACTAGTGCCAAAGTGGATACTGGATGATTTTGAGTCTTAAGGATTCTTTGTAATACATCTAGGTTAGATTGCAGCTCTTTTGTAAGGGAGCTTCCCGTAGTTCCCGACTGCTCATCTCCTGTCCTGTAGATCAGTGATGGTGCTCGAGAGCCTTTCCTTTTCCTCCAGCTAACAACTGGTGTTTACACAGAACAGGTCACCTGCCTCCCCACTCCCCCTCACGAGGAAGCTGCAGACCGCGATGAGGTCCCCCCTCAGCCTCCCCTTCTCCAGGCTGACCAGGCCCAGTGCCCTCAGCCATCTTCCCCTGTAGGCCCTTCACCATCTTCATCGCCCTCCTCTGGACACCCTCCAACAGTTTCGTGTCCTTCTTGTGCTGTGGTGCCCAGAACTGCTCACAGCACTGGAGGTGAGGCCGCACAGCGCAGGGCAGGCAGGCAGGACAGTTCCTTCCCTTGACCGACTAGCGATGCCGTGCTTGGTGCACCCCAGGGTACGGCTGGCAATATGTGATTACAGATCCCACACTGGTCTGCCTTTTTGCAGGTGCCCTTTCCTGGGTACTGACCATTATTGTAGTTTGTAAATTCTCCTTTTCTATTTTTATATATTCATATATATATATATATATATACTCACATATATATATATATATTTATATATACGTATATTCTGATTTTTTATATATATTTATAAGCACCTGTGACCTAGCCTGTGCTGATTTCCCTTACACAGGGTCTTAATTGACCTTGTGGTCACACCGCAGCTGTCAGTGGCTTTACATCCTTTGTGGACTGTAGTGTTTTAGGTGGAGCTGAAGGTCCCCCTTTTTTGTCCCCCTGGTATCATCTGAGAAATATTTTCATACATGAAAAAAACTAATGAAAGGAAAGGAAAGGAAAGGAAAGGAAAAAAGAAAAGGAAGGAAAGAAGAAAGGAAGGAAGGAAAACAAACAAAAAAAAATTACAGAAAAAGGAAGGAAGGAAAGAAAGGAAAGAAGGAAATAAAAAAAATGAAAGAGCGATAGAAAGAATGAAAAAGAAGGAAAGAGAAAGAAGGAAAGAAATAGAAGGAAGGAAGGAAAGAAGAAAGGTAGGAAACAAAGAAAAAAGAAAAGAGAGAAAGAAAGAGAAAGGAAGGAAGGAAGGAAGAAAGAAGGGAGGAAAGAAGGAAAGAAGGAAAGAAAGAAAGACATCCTACCTTAGGTCTCCTTTTTCTTTGCTTTGCTAGAGCCGCTCCAATTAAATGATTCCATTTGGATCCTCTGTTGGTGTCCCCAATTTTTCAAACCAAGGTACCAGGGCAACTACGAGGCGTTCCCATGACCATGTTCCCATATCGCCCGATTGAGGAATTAAAATATTGTTGCCAGCAGCTGGCTTCAAGGACAAGACCTACACAGCTGCTAATCACAAGGGGGTTGTTTTCTTGCAGGTGGGGTTGTTTTCTTGCAGTTGTTTGTCTGAGTACTTTTGACCAATAATGTTGTGTGAGACACTATCTGCCTGTTAAGTTTGCTATGAGAATCAGGCTATTTTGGTAATAAAGAGAGAGCATGATCTGACCATACTGGTGTCTTTCATGTTTTCGGCCGTTCTTCCTGCAGCATGTATATATATATATATATATGTGTGTGTGTATATGTATATATATGTATATATATAATATATTCTGATTTTTTATATATATTTAAAAGAACCAGTGACGTAGCCTGTGCTGATTTCCCTTGCACAGGCTCTTAACTGACCTTGTGGTCACACCACAGCTGTCAGTGGTTTCCATCCTTTGTGGGCTGTAGACTTTTGGGTTCAGCTGAAGGTCCTTTGCTGTCCCCCCTGGTATCAGATGAGAAATATTCAAACATGAAAAAAAAAAAAAAAGAAATCCTACACTCACCTTTTTCTTTGCTTTGCTAGAGCCGCTGCAATAGAAGGATTCCATTTGGATCCTGTGCTGGTGTCCCCACTGGGTCTCCTCAAGCACAGGATAGCTCAGTGCTATCTGGGCCCCAGCTCTGGGGCCAGATCCTGCCTTGGCCAGCTCTGGACCAGGTTTCTCGAGGGGGTGCGGGCCAGGGCAGGCTGCTTTACAGACCAAACTAAAGCTGAGCAGTGCCCTGGGTTGCAACAAATCCCGGAGGTGATTTAAAGGTATTAAACAAGATAGGCCCCGGTACTGACCCCTGGCGGACAACATTTGTGACGGGACACCAGCAGATCCTCAGAAGCTCTGCTGGAAGCCAAATACAGAAGTCTTTCATACAAAAACCTCATCGACCTAGTCGATCTTGCTCTCATGCCATCCTCTATGCCGATTAATAGCAGCAATGCATTGCAAATGAGACACCTGGGCCAAACTCCTCAGAAGAGTCCATAAGCCTGGCTCTTAGGTCTTTATGTTTTTTTTCTTTTTTTTTTTTTTTTTTTTTTCCTTTTTGACTTGTTAAGTTGATAAGACCCTCTGTTGCAGGGAAGTCCACCATCTGGACATCCAGCTAGGGCCTGAAGGCAGAGCTGGGTGCTGGGGGTGCAAGTGTGACCAGGTGGATGCACTCTTTAAGCAAGGTGCCAGGTTGCAAGAGGAGCTCGGCAGGCTGCAATGCATCCAGGAATCCGAGCAACAGATCAATGCGTGGTACCATGCCCTGCCGCGGGCTGAGCAGCCCTGCCTTAAGTCCTGGCAAGAGTGAGGCGTCTCCCCCTTGCCCCTGAGGTGCCCCTGTGCAACAGATAGGATGCTCTGGGGCTCACAAAAGGAGAGGGTGCCAACAACAGCAATGGTAATGCTCAAGGCCCAGGCAGGGCAACCGAGCGTGCATCTGGCAGAAGGTGGAGCGGGGGGCTCTGGGGCTCACCCCCCCCTCCAGAAGGTGTGGAGCAGAACACGGCCTCGGTTCGTGCAGATAAATAACGGTCTGTAAGACAGATCTCTAAGGCACACGACGTTATATCCAGCTTGGGCTGCTTTTGCAGCCGCAGATCTCCTGGGCACCCCGAGCCTGCTGCACCCCACAGCCCCCGGCCTCGTGGTGCGAGTCGTGCCCGGTGTCCTGGTGCCCCGTGCCGAGCCCAGCCGCGTGTCGGGGCCTGAGTGACGGCGACAGGAGGCGGTGG